TATATATATATATATATATATATATATATATATAATGTACCCCTCCTCCCCCCACACACACACGACGTGCGCGCGTGCAAAATATATATATATATAAAAACTTTATAATATTTAGAATAATCTCAGAATAATCTCTTTTATATGCAGTATTGCATTAGATTTATATAGCCTTTGACATTTACCGAGTTCACCCATCTGCTTTGTTAAATTATCCACATCATCAGATAAATCTATAAGAGATTCTGCTTCTCGTTTAGTAAGAGATGGAGTTGATTCAACACTTGGTGGATGTCCAATAGTTTGAGCCAATATAGTACTGGCTGGTACTTGCATTTTATTCTTTGTATAACGCGTATAGCGAAGAAATAGATTATTTAATTCATCATTAATTCGTAATAATTCTGCTGTCATTTCATCATGGGCCAATTTACCAATTAAATCAACAACACGTTCTTGCATTGCCTTACACGTTGAATGAAGCTCCTGCAAATAATTGTTTAGATATACGACATGAAGAACTTATGTAATGAAGAATTTTAAAACTTTACAAATCTATAATAAATCTTTTTTATAAATCTGTAATAAATAACATATAATCTATATAAATAACATTCTTACGTTCAATAATTCAAGATCCGCGGAATCTGGTTGTTGTTTACTTTGGTCTGGACTTGTAAAGTATGCCAACATTTCTGACAATACGCGCATATTTCCTTGAACAACATCAAGTTCACTTTGTAATTTAGCCATTTGTTGTTCGGTCAATTGAGTTAATTGCCCAATAGATTGTGATGTTTGAGAAGGTAAATGTTGCGTTCCCAAAGACGTAGGCTGATCATTTGTTGTTAGATTTACAGGAATTTGCTCCGTTTCAGGTACACTCTATAAAAATATTATTGCAAAAATAGTTACTCTTAGAAACACAGGATGTCAACTGAATAGCAAGTAATTTTGTTTGAAAAAAAAAAAAAAAAAATAAAAAAAGGAAGTATCTTACTCTTTCTGGGGTGATAATTGGTGCCATAGCATCTAAATCAGTCATTGGGAATTGTATACCCTTTATTTTTAATTCTTGATAAACCT